GCCCGGGGGAAAGGGGTGTTATGTCCCGAGCCTTTGCAAACGGCTCGGGCGTTTGCAGGCAGTCCCGGGCAGGTGCAAAGCTGCCCGGGACCAGACAGGCTGTCGCCAGCGCCGTGCGCATGCGCGGGTGCTGGCGCGGGAAAAAAGTAACCCATTTACCCGGGAGTTGCCTATATAAGAGGCTGCGAGGCGTTGGGGCGAGGCTGAAGCCATCTTCCTGTAAGCTGAACGCTGAATAAATGAAACTGAGAACTCCAGCTGCTTCTCGTGTCTGTTTTCCCGCCACGGACTCAACAGTTGAAGAAGAAAAAATGGCTTTGGAAGAATATCTGAAGAACAATGATGAAGATGGCACTGAAATTAGTATATCAGGAAGGCTTACTGACTACTGGAGAGACCAAACTGGCCTTCAAGAAAGACCAAATGAAGAACAGAATAGAGGCATGGGAAGACAAAGCACTACATGGCCAATACATGAAAAAAATAGCTGGGAAAGCAGATAATAATAAAACCTGGCAATGGCTAAGAGCAGGAAAATTGAAGAAAGAGACCGAGGGACTAATTCTGGCTGCACAAGACCAAGCCTTAAGGACAAATGCATACAAAGTCAAAATTGAGAAGACAGCAACAGACAGTAAGTGCCGCCTATGCAAAGAAGCTGAAGAAACAGTGGACCACTTGGTAAGCTGTTGCAAGAAGATTGCACAAACTGATTACAAGTAGCGGCATGACAAAGTAGCAACAATGGTGCATTGGAAGATCTGCAAAAAATATCATTTGCCTGTAAGCAAAAACTGGTGGGATCATAAAATAGAGAAAGTCATAGAAAATGATAAAATTAAACTGCTCTGGGACTTCAGAATTCAAACAGACAAGCACCTGCAACATAACACCCCAGACTTAACAATTGTCGATAAGAAAGACAAAAAAGTCTGGATAGTGGACGTGGCAGTGCCTGGAGATAGCAGAATAGAAGAGAAAGAACTGGAGAAGATAACAAAATACAAAGACCTACAAATAGAAATAGAAAGACTGTGGCAAAAGCAAGCAAGGGTAGTACCAATAGTAATAGGCTCCTTGGGTGCAATCCCAAAACAACTGGAGCACCACTTGAACACCATTGGCATTGACAAATTCGCTATTAGTCAATTGCAAAAGGCGGCCTTATTAGGAACTGCGCGACGATATCTGTAATACCATCAAACATCCACATCTGCCTATCCCAGGTCCTGGGTAAGGACTCGATAGGTAGACAAAATGCCAAATCCAGTCTGAACATCTGGCTGACTGTGCGATGATCGATAATAATAATAATAATAATAATAATAATAATAGGCACTACCTTGACGTGGTTGTGGGGCTTGTGTACTCTGAGGAAGATGAGAGCTATGCCAGAGGTTCAACCATACTGGACAGGTCTCATCAGAGGAGTCAGACAAAGAGTGTCTCTCCCATAAAAAATATGGTGAGACGTAAATTTCAGAATGCCATACCGGCTCGGACGTCGCCCGGGTTAACAAGGTCCGCACTAGATATTGGAGTTCCTGGATATCTGGTGAAAAATGGGTTACAGGACTCAGGACTGTTGGCTGAGCAACCAGGGCCAGCAGCTGCAGAACTACTGGAAGAAAAGGTGTTTACCCGTCGCAGATACACAGTGATGGAAAACAAAGAAATAATGATCTGTTACTACAGATCAAGTCCAACAAGAAGAGGATATCTAAAACGAATGCACCAGTTCTGGAAAGAACAACATCCAGAATCAGAAATAACAGAACAGAGACTAGCAGATCAACGCCGATTTATAACACGAAATAAAGTATTTACAGAAACAGAATTAGACGAACTGCAAAGGTTTACCCAGGGCAAAGAAATCAAAGCCTTACAAGAAGTAATTCAGAATGTAGAGGCAAACCAGGGGGAGTTGGCAGTGAAAGAATCCAGTAGAGATATACAACTGTTCTCATTTGGAAACCAGGCACCTCTTCCTCAGGAAGAACAAAACCCTCTAACTAAAGAAATAAAAGAATTGAAACAAAGAATAATGAGCATCTAGAACAGCACAAAAACAACAGAATAAGGCTGCCTGCATTGAAGCTTGTTCCAAAGAAACAGCTAGCACAAGCATTAAAAGATGCAAATACTGCAATAGCAAGTATAAGCACCAATTCACTGCAAGAAACAAACCAATTAATGTACAGCACAGCTGCAGTTATAACAGAATACCTGGGATGTAAAATCAACAAAAAAGAAAAACAAACAAACAGTGCACCACAAAAATGGAAGGTTAGACTAGAAAATAAGATCAGCAAGTTAAGATCACATGCAAGCAAGCTAGAACAGATGAAAGAAAAGAAGCTGAAGAACAAGAAGACCAAAGAATACCTAATCAAGAAATACCACTTAGAAACAAGGAAGATCAAGGAAGCACTGGAAATAATAAAGCAACAAATAACAGCTATAGCCAGGAAAATCAGTAGATATGAAGCTCGAATTGCAAACTATAGGCAGAACCTCCAATTTCAATCCAATCAGAAACGTTTCTACCAATCCATCAATGGAGAAACTGCAAGGAATCAGTCAGTACCTGACAAGGAAGAAACAGTGCAATTCTGGAAGCAGATATGGGATAACCCAAAGAAATACAACAAGGATGCAGCTTGGTTAAAAGAAGTGGATGCAAATAAAACAGAAGTTGAAATGAAAGAACTAGTAATAACAACAAAAATGGTAGAAAAAAGAGCAAAGAAAATCAAAAATTGGTCAGCACCAGGTGAAGATGAACTGCATGGGTTTTGGTTGAAACATCTAACTGTTATACACCCACTCATTGCCAAGCAATTCAACAATATACTACAAGGAGGAGAAATTGAAAAGTGGCTAACAACTGGGAAAACCTACCTAATAATGAAAAATCCAACAAGAGGGGCAACACCAGGTAACTACAGGCCAATTACCTGCTTACCAACAACTTTCAAATTACTAACTGGTGTGGTAGCTGATGCAGTACAACAGCATCTAGTTGAAAACAATCTCTTTCCACCTGAGCAGAAAGGAAACCGCCCCAATAGCAGAGGAACAAAAGATCAACTCCTAATAGACAAAATGATCTTGGAAAACTGCAAGAGAAGGAAGACCAACCTGAATGTGGCATGGATTGACTACAAAAAGGCATTTGACTCTCTGCCACATGATTGGATAATCAAGTGCCTAGAAATAACAGGAGTCAGTAGAAACATCAGAAAATTTGTGCAAAGATCGATGGCACAATGGAAGACACAGTTGCAGATCAATGGTGAGAAAGCTGGGAGAGGTTAATATCAAGAGAGGAATATTTCAAGGAGATTCATTATCACCATTACTATTTGTTATTGCACTGTTTCCTCTGTCAACAATACTGAATAACTCAGGACATGGTTATCAAACATCAAAAACATCTGCTAGACTATCCCACCTCCTTTACATGGATGATCTGAAGCTGTATGGAAAAACATCATCTGAAATAGAATCGCTGCTCAACACTGTCCGTATATATAGCCAAGATATTGTAATGGAGTTTGGCTTGGACAAATGTGCCACACTTACTATCAAACAAGGAAAAATAGTGAAAACTGAAGGAATCAAGATGCCCCACGAAAATAACATTAAGAGTCTGGATGAGGAAGAGTACTACAAATACTTGGGTATCCTTCAAGCTGACAACATCAAGCACACTGAAGTCAAGAAAAAGATTAGAGGTGAATACATCAAGAGAGTGAAGAAGATCTTAAAATCCAAACTCAATGGAGGAAATACCATAAAGGCAATCAACACCTGGGCAATCCAGTCATTAGATACACAGCTGGAATAGTGGACTGGACTCAAGCAGAACTAAAAGCAATGGATAGGCAGACCAGAAAAATAATGACAATGAATCATGCCCTTCATCCACGCAGTGACATTGATAGACTTTATCTACCAAGGCAAATAGGTGGGCGTGGAATGCTACAAGTACATCAGATGGTTGAAGAAGAAAAAATGGCTTTGGAAGAATATCTGAAGAACAATGATGAAGATGCACTGAAATTAGTATATCAGGAAGGCTTACTAACTACTGGAGAGACCAAACTGGCCTACAAGAAAGACCAAATGAAGAACAGAATAGAGGCATGGGAAGACAAAGCACTACATGGCCAATACATTAAAAAAATAGCTGGGAAAGCAGATAATAATAAAACCTGGCAATGGCTAAGAGCAGGAAAATTGAAGAAAGAGACCGAGGGACTAATTCTGGCTGCACAAGACCAAGCCTTAAGGACAAATGCATACAAAGTCAAAATTGAGAAGACAGCAACAGACAGTAAGTGCCGCCTATGCAAAGAAGCTGAAGAAACAGTGGACCACTTGGTAAGCTGTTGCAAGAAGATTGCACAGACTGATTACAAGCAGCGGCATGACAAAGTAGCAACAATGGTGCATTGGAAGATCTGCAAAAAATATCATTTGCCTGTAAGCAAAAACTGGTGGGATCATAAAATAGAGAAAGTAATAGAAAATGATAAAATTAAACTGCTCTGGGACTTCAGAATTCAAACAGACAAGCACCTGCAACATAACACCCCAGACTTAACAATTGTCGATAAGAAAGACAAAAAAGTCTGGATAGTGGACGTGGCAGTGCCTGGAGACAGCAGAATAGAAGAGAAAGAACTGGAGAAGATAACAAAATACAAAGACCTACAAATAGAAATAGAAAGACTGTGGCAAAAGCAAGCAAGGGTAGTACCAATAGTCATAGGCTCCTTGGGTGCAATCCCAAAACAACTGGAGCACCACTTGAACACCATTGGCATTGACAAATTCGCTATTAGTCAATTGCAAAAGGCGGCCTTATTAGGAACTGCTTCCATCCTGCGACGATATCTGTAATACCATCAAACATCCACATCTGCCTATCCCAGGTCCTGGGTAAGGACTCGATAGGTAGACAAAATGCCAAATCCAGTCTGAACATCTGGCTGACTGTGCGATGATCGATAATAATAATAATAGTTGGAAGGGACCTTGGAGGTCATCTAGTCCAACCCTATACCATTTTAGACAATTGGCTGTCCAATCTCTTCTTAAATTGAGATTACTTTTCCTTATGTATAGTCCTCTGCATGAAATCAGAAACATTCAACAGGATTGACAGCCAAAATTGTCCTGAACATTGCTTTCAAATGTTGTTTTTTTTTTTGCAAAAATATGATATAATAAAAAGAAATTTGTTCTTTTAAAATATTTATAAACAATTGTAACAAGACTGAAATACTCCATTCTGCAAAAATTAATCAAATGTTTAAATAGAAATTCTGTTCTGATTCCATACAAACTCCTACATTCCAACCTAGTTAGCAGAATATTGATCCACACAGAAGCAGGATTAAGTTTCTTTGCAAGCGAAATCTGTACGTAAGAATTCTTCAAATCTCTATTGGTAGGGTACTCCAGGCATTATAGGTTCCCCAGGACCCGTAGGAAATGATGGACCCCCTGGGCCTCCGGGTCCACCTGGCAACCTTGGCCCCAAAGGCCCAGAAGGAATTCAAGGGCAGAAAGTAAGTATTGGCCATTTGATTGTTATTGTCAAAACTCTAGGTCAGTGATGGCGAACCTTTTAGAGACCGAGTGCCCAAACTGCAACCCAAAACCCACTTATGCATCGTCGGGTGCCGGGTGGGTGTGGCCCATTGGCTGGGTGTGGTCAATTGGGTGGACGTGGCTGCCGTGGTAACGGCAGACTGGATAGGACTAAAAAGTTCAATCAATCAATTCCAACTTTGCAAGAACTTTTTTTCCCGCGAGAAGTTGAAATTTACTGATTGGTTGAACCTTTTTTTTTTTTTTTTTGCACACGGTGGCAGAGGCCTAAAGCGAAAAGGTTTTATAAAACCTAGTTGAAGGCCTAGGACTGGGGCGACGGTGCGCATGCCCACAGAGAGGGCTCTGAGTGCCGCCTCTGGCACCCGTGCCATAGGTTCGCCACCACTGCTCTAGGTCAAGATTTCCCAACCTTGGCAACTTGAAGAGTGTGGACTTCAACTTCCAGAATTCCCCATCCAGAATCGCTAGCTGGGGAATTCTGGGAGTTGAAGTTCATGTGTCTTAAAGTTGTTAAGGTCGGGAAACCCTGTTATATGTTATCCTGTGCAGAAATGCCTGATAGAAGCTTTTGTGTCTGGTGCTCCTTTTAATACAAATGATAAGCAAATATTGCATTTTAATCTCAACAAAAGAACAATGTGGCTGGACTACACTTTGCCTTTTCCTCTTTCTTTTGCTCATTCCTTTCCATTCTAGAGGTGGACAGTCATAAGCCAACTAACTCTCAAGTCCAACCTTTAGTAGTTTGCTCCTATGCCAACCTTTAGTAGGAAGTAGATTCTTAGGCTCTTGGCTAATGATATCCTGGGCAAAGTGCAGCTCTCAAAATATAGATGTTACATGCAAGACCATCAGTGCTTGAGCCATTGCATTCTGGATCAGATGAGGCTTCCAAGGGGTCATCAAGCGCAGCCTGCATAGGGTGAACTGGAGTCATCCAAATGGGAGATGATTGAGACGTGAGCAGCTTTATGAAGAGCCCCCCCCCAGTTTAGAACTGGTTATAACTGGTGCACCAGACATAACTGCAAAACCATGTGAGCTACAGCTGTATCACCTGCTCCTTGAACAGGTGCTGTGAGTCCAGAGCACTCTGAACGTATGAATCAGTTCCACACAAAGACAAAGTATTATAATTTATCATCACTAACATCGTTAGCATTATTCAAGTGATGCACAGTGTTATAGGCTGATAAAATGTACCTCTTCAAATACCGTTTCTGGGAGGGGAGGGAGGGAGGGAGAGAGGGAGGGAGAAAGTAAGGAAGGCTAGAGAGGATGTCTGGCCCTATGAAATGACCCCACTTTGAGGGTCCTGTGTGATGAGATGATAGATGTGCTTGGTTTCTTGTTATAGGGTGAAAGAGGCCCTGCAGGTGAGAGAGTTGTAGGAGCGCCAGGACCACCGGGCATGACTGGAGAAAGGGGAGACCAGGTTTGTAAATACATTGTGAACTATCTTTACTTATCAGAATACTTTTGCCTTCCCTCAATCCCTATCTCTGAATTAAGGGGGGGGGGGAGGAATGAGCAAACTCCAACTCAACAGCTACTTGGATATTCTGGAATATTTTTCCAAATATGTCCTGGCTATGCTATATATAATTGTGAAGTTTGTCTGTTCCAAATAGATTGACAAGAAACTCTTAGGTTCACATATTCATTGATGTCCATCCAGTTTGACAGAAGATTTAATGTGGTTGGGCATGCTATTTAAACCTGCTGTGATTTCTTTAATAATCCATGGTGTAGCCTTATCTGTAAAACCAGTCTAAATTGGAATGATGTCAAGCTCATTTGCCTTTGCTGTTATCCAATTTTACCTATAGGCTTTATATATTTTTTAAATAAATGAAAATGTATATCTCAGATAAATGAGCATATTTTTCAGCTCCAAATGCTCTTGACTTAATAACTTCGTTGGTTTGTTTTCATATTGATAGGGAAATCCAGGGCTTGATGGCTTAAGAGGAGAAAAAGGAGTACCTGGCATGACGGTAAGGGAAAAGACTTTTCCAATAGAAAAGAACATTTGTTTATTGTTTTTGCCAGTTTTCTACTAATGAATGAAACGGAAGGCCAGTAACATTCTGAATCAGAATCCTAAATCAGGATTGGGATTTGTGTATTCCTAAATTCATTTTAAGGGGCTGCAGTAGCAGTTCGTTTTTTCTTTGCCAAAAATTACATTTAATTAAGCACTCTTCTTGATTGCTCACATTTTAGAAGTCTCTCTTCTGTTTTTTTTTTTTTTTTTTTTGCTTTGACATGGATGCTGCTTTGGAAGGTTTTGATCAGTGTTTCTCAACCTTGACAATTTTAAGGCATGTGGACTTCAACTCCCAGAATTCCACAGCCAGCATTGCTGGCTGTGGAATTCTGGGAGTTGAAGTCCACATGCCTTAAAATTGTCAAGGTTGAGAAACACTGGTTTTGATGAAGGAAATGGAGGGGATTATTCCCCACATTTATGGAGGACTAGACAGAGCACCGCCTTGGGAGCAGACCTTGCCCTTTGAAATATCCTTCCCCTTGAGATTTAGCAGGCCCCTATCCTTCTCTCCTTCTAGAAAGCCTCAAAGAGCTGGTTCCTCCCACAAGCTTTGTGGCACAGGGAGGCTAGATCTCAGTAAAGTTGTATATTGATATGGTGGCGATGTAGTTGAGGGGATATAGGGAGTGTTTATTATGATTTTATGTGGGTCTTTTTTGCAGTTTTTATTGCTATTTTTTGCTCGGGTAATGATGCACAATATAAGTAAACAAACAGTCATAAAGTAAACTAATATTATATTTTAAGTCTAAGAAATAAATGTATTATTGCTTTGTAATAAACTGTCAAGGGTCCATCTGGGTTGTGGCGGGGTATCTGTGCACTCAGTAAATAAATAAATGAATGAAGAGCAGTTTAGCTTGTTAATATTTGCTTTCTGCTTTTTGCAGGAAGAAGAGGTCCGACAATTTGTCAGGCAAGAGATGAGTCAACATTGTGGTAAGGCCTCCCCTAAAGCTAACTGGACTCTTCAACCCTGCCATTTTCCCTCTAGACTCTTCATATCCATATTCTCATTTTCTTGTAAACAATTTAGCTTATAGCTGCCCTGGACAATGCTGAAGCATAGTTGTTCAATGGGATGGCTATACCTTGTGTTTTTCAAATGCTCTTTTTAGGAGTGTGCTGTTTGATCCAAATCACTCAGTGGGATAGAAATCTGGGATTAGAATCCATTTCATTTTTTAAAAACTGGATGTGTACTTACTGGGGAAATTGCAGACATTTTTGCAGCAGTGGGGAAGATTTTGGATGTTGTATTGTTTCCTCCAGGGCTATTCAAAATCCTGTACCATATCTAGTTGTTTTTGAGGAAAACAAATCTGATACTTCTTCCTTGTTTTTTATAGAGTACACACAAGAGGCAGCTAGAGACAATTTCTGTAGGGAAAAAAATTGGGAAATCAAACATGAAGTTTTTCACAAGACAAACAGTGTTTGTAAAGAAGAATCCCTCAAAGTGTAACTTGTAAGAAAGTACTGTTGAGAAAGATACTTATGTGAAAGAAAATAATAGGCTTTATTTAGGAACTAACATCATGATACAAAAATCTAAGTTATCAAAATCTATCTATAGCTAAGTTATGAGACCCCCGCCGTTCTGAAGAAAGAACAAATTATTGAGAACTTGAACTGCACAGCTCAAAGACAAAAGAAAATAGGACATGAACTGAAAAACTACTGAAAGCCCTAATTGCCTCAGTCTACTCAGTGTTTCTTAACTTCAGCAACTTCAAGATTTATGCACTTCAACTCCCAGAATTCCTCAGCCAACATGAAGTTGAAGTCCACACATCTTAAAGTTGCTTACATTGAGAAACACTTGTCTAAGCAATAGGAACAAATTAGACCTGAAGGGAGATAAAAGGACATCTATTGTCCTGGTTATAAAAAGTTGCAGCATTCAAATTGCAACAAAAATCCAGCTTCCCCAAATTTCCTCTGAAAAAAAAATGGTGGCCCTTATCCCACATCTAGAACTGCATTTCTGTTTAAAAACTAGTGGGCAGTCTCATCGTAGAATGAGTGTCCTGGTGAATGGGTTGTTTCCGAAGGCAACTGGACTTTCTTGTTTTTCTTTGAAGACATTTTGCTTCTCATCCAAGAAGCTTCTTCAGCTCTGACTGAATGGTGGGGAATGGATGGTGGGGAAAGAGCTAAAGAAGCTTCTTGGATGAGAAGCAAAGCATCTTCCAAGAAAAACAAGAAAATCCAGCTGCCTTGTGAAAAAGCATCTTTGGGACAACTATGATCTGGATGACTGAGAATCTCCGTAGCCATGGATTGTTTCTGTTTGTCATTTCAGCTTGTGGAAGCCAGTTCTCTGTTTCTGAACGGCGTAAGTATTTTGGATTATTATGAACTGTCTTCCTGTCTGCAGTACTTGTAATCTGAGACATTAATAAATAGGTGTTCAATATATCACTGATAAATATACCCAGATATGCAGAACATTTGATTAATACAGATTCAACAGAGCAGACAGAGCCAATCTACTGTAAAGAAAGGTGTGAACTGTGTACAGTTTACAAACATTTAGCACCCATGAGTATGCGTGAAATCAGTATTCTTTCAATCAGTAATGACATAGATGCAAACCATGGAGAATAAGTTTTTTTGTATTACTTATTACATCAGCTTTATTTGAGAACTGTCTCTTCTCTACATACATAATTTATTACTGACTAATTTTTATAGAAAAGGTCAAAAGGAGATATGTCAAGATTCTTGAACCTTGGCTGGAAGCTTCTTCTCTTGAGGTGGGGAGGCAAAACATGTGCTAATTATTTTTATGGCAGTTATGTGTCTATTTAGGTTTGCATTGTGGCTTCTTCTTCCCAGGTAATCTCCCCAATGATCCATCCAACCAGCCATACTCACCTGTTAAAGCTCAAATAATCCCTGTGCTTAAACTGTCCCATGCTGAGGAAGAGGAAGGTGAGTCTTGTTTCTTAGTATTTTGCTTTTTTTTTCTTGCACTCATTGTAGGCTACTTGATATTATTATGCATAAAATGTTTGTTGTCATATTCTCCTGGCAAGAATTAAGTATTTTCACTTTTTCCTTTCAGTCCATTTTGGAATTCCAAAGTAGGGTGCACTTTGCAAGCCAGGCATTATCACACTGACAATCTGTTCTTTTGTTGGAAACAAGAGGAAGGATATGATTAGCTTTGTTCTACTTGGAACAAAATGAGGACTCAGGGGACACTATGCTGACTCTGTAAACCACTTAGAGAGTACCATAAAGCACTATGAAGTGGTGTATAAGTCTAAGTGCTATTGCTATAATAGCTTATGAAAAGGAAGGTGGGTTGCATATACCATTCTATAGATAAAAGCCAGGAGAAATAAGAATAAGTAGTGGTAATGTAATATTGCTCAGTTCATAATAATATGTCAGATACAATAATATAAAATGAAAAAGAAACATAAAAATGCAGAAAAAAGTAGCCATCAAGCCAATTGACATTCATAATTTATAGTGCCCTAGAATCATCTGGGAGCGCCTTTGAAAATCACTCAGAAGCTGTGGCTGGTCCATAATGCAGCAGCATGGGCAATATTGAATAGGTTTCCTTATGCCCATCTAACACCTTTGTTCTGTGAGCGGCAGTAGTTACCAGTAGGCTTCCAGCTACAATTCAAGGTGCCGGTTATCACCTACAAAGCCTTCATGGCAGAGTGCCAGGTTATCTAAAAGGCCATTTGGCTTTCATGGTTTCTACCTGGCCCATGTGATCAAGCAACATTAGCATGCTTCATGTCTCTTTCATTGTAATGTCACTTGATGGGATCCATAGAGCATGTCTTCTCTGCTGCAGCACCAGCCCTCTGGAAAATCATCCCCACTGAGGCTTGTTAGCCCTCCATTGTGGTTGTATTTAAACAGCATTGAAAATCTGCCTCTTTTCCTGGATCTTGTGACAGGGCCCTTTAGGCTGGAAAGGATTTGTTCCCCCTAACAATTGCTGCACTTTTTAAAATGCTGTTTTCCTTTTTTGTTTTAATCTGTAAACTCATTTTGGTATTGGGTGGCCTACAAATTTAATACCTTCATAAATAAATAAATTTTCCTTTCTAGGAATACAGTTGTTAAGTATGCCCTACCTCATGGACTCAACATAATTGTTATTCCTTCCTTGCCATCAAGTCTTCCTTACTCAAGATCTTTTGAATCCACTATCTCTGTTTTATAGGGAGCCAGGAACGAAACATATTGAAATTAAGTAAGCCTGAATATGAGTATGTCTACACAGAGGAAGACTATGAAGAGGGCCTGGTAGCAGATGGGACTGAGACTCCTATGTTGAGGGATGGTGAGTTATATCAGTCTCTGATGTGTCTTTGAAGGATTGGGGCATGCCTGTGGTTCATTCTGTGGATAGTGAAAGGTTGAAAGCCTGAACTCCTTTTGAAACTTGTGGAAGTGATTACTAAGAGTGCAATCATTCATAGACTACTTGGTAACCTCTATGAAATAAATAATGGCTTTAAATCTACCCTACCTTGTTGACCTTGGCTGAATTTGAAAAAGATAAGCAGGTCAGATCTGGGACATATCCGACACTTTAGGCGTTCTGGTTTAGACTGGAAGAAATTCAAAACAAAATCCCATGGATGGGCAATGAAAAACCATGTCCATGTTCTGTTACAAAGAAAAGTAAATGGATGCTTCCATGTGGTTAAAAGGAGTGATGCTCAATCAGAGTTTTTACACAAAAGATAATTTTGTTATAAGCTATTCTTTTTACATATGTATTTAATTATTTTACAATATTTCTAGATTATCTCAATTGCAAATCTTGGAGTAGTGTTCAACAAAAGCAGAAAAACAGAAAATAACAAGATTTTTTTAAAAATGTAAACATAAATAGTAAAACGAAATGCCGACCTTCAGTCATTTAGGACCAAAGGCATAACAGAGTATCAATGCATTTTCTACCTTGTAATATGCAAGTTGGGAGGGTCCCTTGCTTATCTCTGTGGAAAGCCTGGATCCAATTAAGAGAAGGCTTATTGTTTCACACAAGTCCTATATATGCACTAGCTAACAATCCTGGAATATTTTTTTTAAAAAACTTAAACAACATTTTTCTCTGCAGAATTAAACAATCTTTGCCTGAAGTTGCCTAACAATCTTATTCCTGTTCTTGCTATCTAGTAAAAGCCAAATAACTGTAACAGAGCAACAAGATGAAGATTATAAGTGAATAATTTTCTTTTTCATGATTGAGAAAAAGAATATGATGTACTATATTTTGCAACCAATGAATATTGTTTAACTTGAATAACTGTTGTCCCTAATAATTAACCCATTTTTTTTCATATGATTGAAAGTCCAGCATGTATTTTATATGCATTTGGCATCTTCTGAGCAAAATTACACTACAAATTAACTATCAATTAATAACATGCCCCAAGGGAGTATTTAATTAATATAAGAAGCCAATAATAGATTGGCACCTAAAAGTATCTGATTCTGTTGTTACCTTTTTTCCTAAATCTCAAGTGGACTTTTTTTTTAAATTTTGCAAGTTAAGATTCAGTTCTGCAACTTGTAGTCTTGCATGTGAAAGTACCAATGGGTAGTGAAATTAGACTGAGACAACAACTATATTTCTCTTTCCCCTTTTAAACTTAAGAAGTGTTGCTATGATAAATCTTTATTCGTGGATTGCCTCCTTGATGGGAGTCATAGTCATGAAGGGAAGCTGTTTCCAATGCATTAGAAACCAATGAAAGAAATTGCATCCAATGCATTAGCTATCAATATATTTGTAATATTTTTACACAAGAGCTCCCAAAAGAGTACAAGCCCTCCACAAAGGACCTGTGGCTCAATCTCTATGCACTTCTCACATTGAATTGTTCTCTTGTACTTTATGTTGCATCTGATAAGCAAATAACCCTGTGCATGCAGAATAAATGCAACCACCATAATGCACTAGTGAAAAATTGGTTCCTTCTATACAGTAATAATAAGCTGTGGTCTACTAGGAACTTTAATTCTGTACCAGTGCCGTTAGAAGCAATCCTCATTGCCAGTAAATTTATTAAACCATATAGTTTCTCTCTTGAGAAGGAAAATAAAGTGTGTAGATAATATGTAGACTGTCATAAACTGGGATGGTTAAAGTTCATTAACTTTAGACTTCTACTGCTCACCATTGGTCTTTAGACCAGTGGTTCTCAACCTTTCTAATGCCGCGACCCCATAATACAGTTCCCCATATTGTGGTGACCCCCAATCACTTATACATCACCGGGTACCAGGGGTGTGGCCAAAGAAAAGGGGGAAAAAATGGCAGATAGCCTTGTTTGGCGACCCCCATGAAATGGTCATTCAACCCCAAATGAGGTCCCGACCCACAGGTTGAGAACCACTGCTTTAGACTGAAATAGCTAACTGGGAGTATGCAAAGTGTAACTGGGTATAATTACCAGCATTCTGTCTTTTTTTCCAGCCTATTCTTGTAGTTATAGTACAACTATTTCTAGAGTATTAGAGAGAACGGTCCACATTTCTGTTGAATTTCAGCTAAGTGTAATGCCTAAACTAGCATTAGCACTTTTGCATCTTAGATAAGCTAATGCATTGGCCTATTGCATTCTCACTGTTATTTTTTCCCCAGCTGACCTGTGCACCTTGCGTCTGGAACAGGGCCAGTGCAGCAAATACACCCTAAAATGGTACTATAACCAGAGAGTATTGGAATGTCGGCCCTTTCTCTACAGTGGCTGTGGGGGAAATTCCAACCGCTTCAGCTCCAAAGAGGACTGTGAGCTTTACTGCAAGCCCCAGGCAGATATAGGTAGGAGTTGGGAAAGCATCCCACAAAGTACATATTTTTCACACTTTATAGTTCTAAATATTGCAGTTTTCCATGATCTTTCACCATCTCTCTCTCTCTTTCTTTTGACAGTTAATGGCACAGTGGATAGAAACCAAACTGTATAAATGTTGAAGTGAGTTTGGAGAGCTGATGTACTGAAAAAAGGAAGAGTTGCAACCATTTAGGCTTCCTGCCATTCTTATCATGCATAAGGTCTTAGATATATGCCTGGCAAGCATTTGACCTGAGAATCATCTTGCTGCCTTTTGTACTGCTTGCAACACAGGTGCTTGTGGGTGCATATGTCTATACGAGTGTGTGTGTGTTTATGCGTACATCGTTTGTGTGTGGGCTGCTTCAGCTGGAGCAGAGAAATGGTGCTATTTCTTTTTTTTTTAAAAAAAAGTAGTTTTGTTGCTCTTGGTTTATTTTTTTAAATTAAGGTGCTTTTTTAATCGAATGGGAAATATATGCATATCATCTTTTATGTATAATGTAAAGAAAAGACATATTTTTAATTAGAGTTCTTTAACTTATTTGATACTGGCTTAACTAATGACACGTGGAATGTATTGTGGCCTGATCTAACTGATTCTGCCAGCAACATGCAGATTTATAGATCTATGTATTATTCCTCTGGGACTAGAATCAGGGGTTCTCAACCTTGGCAACTTTAAGACTTGTGGACTTTGCTGGCTGAGGAATTCTGGGAGTTGAAGTCCACAAGTCTTAAAGTTGCCAAGGTTGAGAACCCCTGGCCTAGATTAATAAGAAGCCAACTAGACAGTATCACTCAGGCTGTCTGAGAGGCTAAAATGTCTTTCCATTCATAAAGATACAAAAGTCTTCTGAGTCACAGTCAATGCTAGAGTTCTTTCCATAAATTTATTTCATTAGGAGCAGAAATTATTGAGCAATCCCCTAACCTGTTTTTTTCATAACTTATGACATTCCATTGTTAACAAATAAAATTTGGGGAATACCAGGCTTTTTCAGAACCTGAAATACTGTATGTCAAAAATAAAATTGTCACAGAATGGAGTATTTTTCCCAAAGCATTTCCTTTTTCCCTGCCATCAGTTTTCCAGTGCCTTTAGAGTACTAGAATCCCTTAATCTTTCAACTTTTGAACAAAATAACGTCACACGTTGGATTTAGTTCTGAATTGTTTTGTGCCCAGACTCCATGGATTAAAATATAATGGTGGCAAGGATGGCAAAATTCAAAGTATTATGAAAAATAGCTGAAAAATTAAATTTGAATATTGAGAAAAATTTGTGGTCCATTTACAGGAGCAGTAAAAGTTCAACTATATGACTAAGAATTGTTTCATCCTGTCAATGTGCCTAATATTTTACTAAATTAATTGAAGCTAGGCTGAATCATATCCATTGACAAAGAATGCCATATGCCTTGGAGAATATTATTTTCCATGTCTTTTGAAATACTAAGAGTTCTGGGACAACTAGAGCTGGTCCACATATCGCTACACTATATAGTTATAAAAAAGCTTTTTCCCCCCATTTTTTTCCACAGAATTGAACTTACTTTGAATTGCCACTGCAATTCACTGAGATTTTCAGTGAATTTTTTCTTTACTATAGATAGTCCTCGACTTATGACCACAATTGAAACCAAAATTTCTGTTAACTGAGACATTTCTGAAGTGAATTTTGCCCTATTTTATGACCTCTCTTGCCACAGTTGTTAAGTGAATCACCGCTGTCGTTAAGTTAGTAACAATCTGGCTTCCCCATTGACTTGTTGGTCAGAAGGTTGCAAAAGAGGATTACGTGATCCCAGGACACTGTGACCATCAAAAATATGAATCAATTGCCAAGTGTCTGAATTTTGGTCATGTGACCATGGGGATACTGCAGTGGCCCTAAGTGCTAATCCAGAGCTTTAGCCCTAACATTGACTGTTTTAAATTTATTTATGCTGGATCTCATTTTCTACTTTGTTACTAATTCACTTAGTTTTTAAAAAGACGTTCTATCATTTTTCATAACTCACTTCAAATTTCACAATCCAGACGCATTTTTTAAAAAAATTCAGACAAGTTGGAACATGGTTTTACTGAAGAAGACTGTGGAAGACAAGGATTTGAAATTAAAAAGTTGACAAGACAAAACTGGAAAAATTGAATGTGTTTAATTTTAGAAGATGTTCAGTGTACCCAATTGGGAAATATAATGCCATTTTTAAGTACCTGGTGGAAATGAAGATTTCTTCTCCAATATCCCGAAGATTAGGACAAAGAATACGGTAGTAACTTACAAGAGGAAAGATTCTAGTTGAACGTTAGGAAGAGCAACAAAGCAACCAGTTATCAAGACAAATGCTGGGTTCCCCTACCCTTGATGTTTTCATGATGATGCTTTAATTAGAATTTCTCCACCGAGAAGGAGTTTGGATTCAAGTGTCTGAATTTCAGTCATTCATCCTAAATTTCCAGCTATAGAATACGGTTAGCAAGAGAATATGGTTGTGTCCAGCTGAAACTGAGAACTGGATGGTGCTGGCTGTGCAATTCACTGAATGTTTGGCAATAAAGGAAAGTCACTGTGAATGAGAGGATGACATTTCAATAATCATGTACTACTGAAACATACAAGGTTTTTTGAGACATTCTAACTATTACATTCTAATACAGTAGCTAAGTATTAGTAATACAGGTAGTTCTCAACTGACCACCACAACTGAACCAAAAAATTATGTTGCTAAGTTGAAACATTTATTAAATGGGTTTTGCCCCATCTTACGACTTTTCTTGCCACAGTTGTTAAGCAAACCACTTCAGTTGTTAAGTTAGTAACACGGTTGTTAAGTGAATCTGGCTTCCCCATTGACTTTTAGAAGGACGCAGAAGGAGATCACATATTCCGGGACACTGCAACCGTTGTAAAATATGAGCCACTTGCCAAGCATCTGAATTTTGATCACAGGATCACATGACCACGGGGATGCCGCAAGGGTCGCAACTGTGAAAAATAGTCAGAGGTCACTTTTTTTCAGTTCCATTGTATAGTAACTTTGAAGGGTCACAAAACGAAATGTGGTAAGTGGAGGACTACCTGTAGTCTATTGCAGGGATCCCCAACCTTGGCAACTTTAAGACCTGTGGACTTCAACTCCCATACATAGCTGGCTGGGGAATTCTGGGAGTTGAAGTCCACAGGTCTTAAAGTTGCCACAGTTGGGGGGGGGGGGGCTTGTCTATTGCTTCTTTTCCCTCTTTTCAGGGCCATGTCTAGACATTTTGTTGCCCTAGGCAAAAGTTCTCTCTGGCGCCCTCTATGGTCTGGCTCACCTTTTGGCACCCTCTTGCTTCTTTCTTTCTTTAGATTTTCGATCCCTTTATGATTTTCAGCCCCGGACCATTTTTTTTCTTTCCTTTGGCATTTTTATTTTATTGACACTGCAGAATTATGTTTAATCCCCAAGCAAACACGGTGGCTCACAATGTGAACTGTTACTGCTTTTAAACTTTTGTTTAGAAGTCTTTTCCATTTTGATGCCTCCTAAAACTTGACGCCTCTAGGACAATACCTACTCGGCCTTAACCTAGAGCCAGCCCTCCTTCTTTGGAAAGGCATGAACGTGTAAATATTTTACTCTGTTACCTCGAGATGGCAAAGAGTGATTCAGTTCCAGAAGAGTAATTACATTTAGCTTCCTGAAAAACTGGTGTCTCACCCACCTTAAAGTTTAAACATAAATTATCGACTCATTCACATTGTTAAAATGCAGCAATTCTACCCCAAATGTGGATAATAAGTCCAGGCAAACTACAATAAACTAACATGGTTAGTTTAAACATGTCTATTTTCTTCTCACCAATATGCTTAAGAAAGCAAAAAATGTTGGCCAAAGAGAGCAACCTTAGTGTACGTATATATGGTGCTCTAGCTATTTATCACTGTTGTATTTTCAAAATATTGATGTACATATTACTGCAGAATTTTTTCTGCTCTATGTAAGATTCCTCTATTAATGATATTATGGTGCAAAAATCGGAATGTGCTAATCAAATAAAAGTATACAGCACCTCATTCAATCATGTGTGTTTAGTGACTTTGTTAGGCCCATCCCTGATATTTTCCCCTGCCTTTAAACCCGCACATCAGACTGCAGCGTTTGATCTGCAGCCTTTGGTCTGACAGAGCTGCCGAATGCTTTTTCTGTGGTCCCATCCATATTTCCCAATACTGAAAGTGGGCACACTTTAGTGGAATACTTGGCGGACAGTTTAACATCAATGCAATAGCGGCCATTTGATAGCTATAAAATGAATATATTTCGACATTCATTGCATTTGAAACTTTAGGTGACCTGTACAGTTGTCCCTTGTTCTTTTATTTTCTTTAAGATTTTTAAAAAGTACCAGAATACAAAAAATAACCAGTACAAAAGAACTGTGCAATACTAAAACCAAGAGTTTTAGTCCTCAAGTTGTTAGCCTGGGGAAGACTGTAGTATATAACCAAATTTGATTCACTGCCTCCTGTTGGATACAGAATCAGTCTTCCATTCTTCCTGATGAGCTTCAGGAATTTCAGATGAAAAGAAACTATATCAGAAAAGCAACTTTAAAAATGTCATCAATCCACTTGTGTTGTTATGGGAATTGGATTTAATTCTTTCCCTTGAACAACTGGTCAACCTCTCTTAAGATAATCTGCTGCAGAAATAATACCATATACACTGTTGCAAAGAAGTAAGAATTGTTACCTTTTACTGAACCCTGTTTCCAATGTTTTAAGTACTTTGAGATAACGGTGGCTGGCAGTTTGGTGCAAAGTACACAGAGCATTTACATTGTGTGCTTAAAGGACACGTTGGTAAGAAAAGGCTCTCCTTATAACCACTGGGATTCCTCACGGGGTTGAACATGTTCTTTGAGGACTACTTAAGCTATGGTAGGTGTCTTTCTCTTGGGGTATATATCTCTTACATCAAATAGCAGTGGTGGAGGGAGTGTTTACAAGGGTTGCCAATCCGTTTCCACGAGAACAATTGGCAACCACAAGGAATTATTACCATGTCATTGAATACTAATAATAAAACAGCAACAATAATAAATGTTGAACGTATAAATTAGTGAATGCTTCATAATTATTCGGAAAGCAAATGCTGAAATAAATTGTATGATACAGGCAATTGTGCTGGCGAGATGAGCATTTTCACAGCATACTAAGCATATGTTTTCAGCAGTTGTACTGAGAATTTATTGAACTGGTTTTGAAAAAAATATTATGGAGTGCATCTTTTAATTCCTTCAACTGACAATACCCTTTTGTCTGATCAGAGAAAAAGGAGCTGCAGGAATTCTTTTAGTTTGCTCCTTGAGCTTAGCACAAGAAACAACACATGCTAAACATAAGGTTTGGTATAATGCAGGCGTGTCCAATCCGCAGTCCGTGGTCACATGTGACCCTCGATGGCTAGTAATGTGGCCCACAAGATTGTAAACTTTTAACATTATTGTGTGATTTTTGGCAATAGTTACTATATTACACATTTTATATGAGGCCCAAGAGAATTCTTCTTCATTCAAGGCAGCCCAGGCAAGACAAAAGGTTGGGCATGATGGTGTAGTGATTAAGGCACCAGGCTAGAAATAGGGAGACCATGAGTTCTAGTCCCATCTTAAGTATAAAGCCAATTAGGTGACTTTGGAACATTCACTCTAGAAAGCAGGCAATGGCAAACTATGTCCAACATCTTGCCAAGAAAACTGTGTAGACCAGGTAGTTACCAGGCATCAACAATGACTCCAAAAAATCACACGCAAGAACAGGCAAGACCTGTCAGTACATATTTCAGTAAATTTGTTTCTGGTACTATTTAAGTTTGAAATTGAAAACAAACTCTAAATCTGTTTCCTATGTGCATTACGGTCTGATCTTCCAATGTATCAGAACAGCTGAATACCAAATAACGTCACTCATCAATATTTCATTATTTTAAAAGCTGAGTAGTTGCAAAAAGCTTAGAATAGCCTTCCCTAATTCCCTAATGTCCTACAGATATATGGATTTCAACTCCGAGAGTTCTAAGCAAGGGGTAATAATTGGAAAAGTCCACTCTTGTGGAGTAAGCTTGGAAGACAATTAGGATTCCAGGCAAAAAAAAATTAGTGATGCTCTCAAACAAAACAGAAAATGCACAGAATTTAACTGAAGACAGAACTCCAATAGAAGAGAATATATATCTAATTCAGGTTAGAATTGTGGAGTCTTTGGTGCACCCTGAGCTTGCTAGTTTGCTTGCAAACATTTCATTGTCTGACTAGGTAACTTCATCAGTGCTAAGTGAGTGTGGACTTTTCTCCCTGTTTATATACAGTAGCTTGTCCTGCCAGTGAAAGTGGGGCTGTGGTTTTCTTCTTGTAGTTTCCTTGATTAGATTATTGTTCTCTGCTTGATTTTTGTCTGGTGTTAATCCCTGTTTATCAGGGTATAGGCTGCTGGAGAATGTGTTATGGTTTTTTTGTTTCCTTAGTTTTATTTACTGTCTATTTTGATTGGTGTGTAAAGTGATTTATCTTTGTGTCTGATTTTAAACAGCTTTCAGAGGAATTCTCTGTCAATGGTACGTTCAGGCCCAAACTGGTTCAAATCGCAAGGATGGCAACCAGATTTCAAAACTGCCCATTAGCAGTGAATCAATGATTCAGCAGATTGTGAAATAGTCAGGTCATTTAATTGGCATACTCTATGTCCCTGTTCTATTGAAATATATTTCTATTTCACCCTGTAATTATTTGTAACTTTGCATTTATGCATAAGCTTAATAATTTTCTACAGAAATGTGTGTTGCTTTTTATCCTCTTTTTGGTGACACCTGTATAGCACCTCTACAAATTTGTGAGCCCAGCTACTTCCAAGCAAATCATAATTTTATATATGCAACGAATATAGCCATCATACTATTCCATTTAGGGTCAGCATCAGCAACATTATGCATAGAAAAGAAGACCAAAAAGAAAATCAAAAGTGTAAGCCAAAAAAAGAGACATAGTTTTGTTTTAGTTAACACCATTATTTTTCTCTATTATTTTCTATCTTTGTAAACCATGCTTGTTTCTATCATATCCATATATTATTTCATGAATTCCCTTTTATTCCTTACATTTCTTATGTCTCTCTGAGGTTCTCAAATTTCATCCATCACAATTTTCTTGGCCTTTTCTTCTCAATCTATTCATTCTTTGTATATTTGTTCCATGAATAAATATCCATTCATTATCTTTGTATGCTCAAACCACCTGAGCATATTTCTTTTATATCAATCACACACTTTTATATTCAATTCACATTAATTCAGTTCCATTTTATTTTTTATTCTCTCATTTTATTATGCATATTTCTGATGTACCTGATGTCCTGCATTCATCTTACTTTTAAGTTTGTCCTGACATACCAGATTTCAATTTCGTAAAACAAAATGAGCAGAGCACATCTTACATACAGCTATTATCATTTCAACAAGTACTCTACAACAGTCTGCATGTCAACAAGTACTTCCTTTCTATTAGCATGTGAACATATCTTCATCCATTTCTCCATCTTTAGTAAACATTCTACTAAGCCACTCAAAATCATCTATTTGCCCTAAGGTTTTTATGAATAACTAGCAATCATTTATTCTATTTTATTGTTAATCTTATCTTCTTAGTCTTTGACACATCCATTTTCAGAGTCATACGTTTTTTGCAATTTTTAAATCAGCAAAAATACAGTAAACTTTCTCACTTCATGCACTTTTCAATGGATGGGTGAAGAGAAACAATGCCAGGCAAATTTTCTGCTTAATATCATACTGGCTGGAGAATTCTGGGAATTGACATCCACACATTTTAAAATTTGGAAAGCACTGAACTAAACCATCCTGGAGAGGTGGCTGGCCTGTTTCTTAAAAACCTCCATAAATTCCCCACCGCCTGCCAGGTAACAGAATGTAAAATGGTTGGTATCTTTTTACTGAATTTGTTTATTGTGCAGACATTGAAACTTTTTCAGGTAAACAAAAATAGGTAACAATAGAAAAGGAAAAAGAAAAAAAGCCAGTTTGGGTCAGAACAATAATCAGGGTACCCCTCCCCCTCCCATTTTTTTCTGGAAAATAATTCTAGTGAGCATACGGAGAAAAGTACTGACAGTTCCAAAAAACAGGAAAGAAAAGAAAAAAAAATCGAGATTTTCAAAAGGAAACGGAGATTGTCTGGAAAGAAACCTCCATCTCTTTTATACCAGAAAAAAAGCAACACTGACGTAATCTGAAAACAGTAAACGAGATGTGCTTTCCCCTCTTTCTTCCACTGAACAGACTGGTGCAAAGCACAACTTTCCTTGCCTCTGCACTTCCGTCCTTTGTCGCCTTGCCCGAGATTGGCTGCCAGTCTTCCTTTCCGGCCTGAAGCTTTGCCCTCGACCATTGGCTATAAAGCCGATGATCACGACCCGCCTGTTCCGTCATTGCGCCTTTCTCCTGGCAGCTACGTAGAGCCCTCTCCAGCCCATCCGCTGACGAGTGCGGCTGCGCGTCGCTGAGCTGCTGAGCTGTCTCAACTTTGTCTTGCTGGCAGGAAGTGGCGCCTCTGCAGGAAGTAGCGATTTCGAGATTTCCACGCAGATGCGGACTGTCTAGCTAGCGCTGCCGTTTCCCATAATTTCTTGTCTGTCTATCGTAGCATCTTCCTTCTTCCCTTCCCTTTTCCTGGGCTAGGATTAGGTTAATCTTCTGCAGCTCCTTTTTTTACCCGGTTCAGCACATCCCCGGACAGGATGCTAAAGAAATTTGATAAGAAGGACGAAGAATCAGGTGAGTGGAGAAACTCTAGAGTTGTCCAACGGGGCGACCTCCAGATTTGATGCGTGGCTACTCCCTCTTCGCTGTTGGCAGCTGCAAAGAAAGAGCTACCGCACTGGGCTGCAAAAATCCGGATAGTAGCAAAACGTTTCGGACTTTTCTATATCCCTATGTCCAGTTAGCAGACGTCAGGATGTTTGCAGGATCCTGGGGGCTGAAATTACGGGAGCTGCAATCCAACATATCGGGAATTAGTAATATACTAGGAAGGGAGAAAAACACAGCCATCCTATTTTATGAATGAAATGTTACTATATCAGAGGTATATATGGTATAAATTATTGCAATTAATAAGAATGTACCTACTCAGTCCAATTTTCGTTAAAAGAAAGAACTACTCTTGATTGGGCTAAATATAGCATGGTAGGATTTCTTTAATCAAAGAGAAAATGACATAATACTGAGAATAAGATCTTATTATAATAGTGCAATCTTATTTTTCTTTATGGATAACTCTATAAGAGAATGAATTTGCTATAGAAATATAGGAATATTTAATCTACTTTTTATTTCCTAAATTGCTATTGAAAACAAAAGAAAGTTTAAATTTAATTGTAAGTCACCCTGAGTCATTTTCCAGAGTGAGATAGATGGCATATAAATTTAAAATATAATTCAACTTTTTGCCCTGAAACAAAGATCTGAAGTTATTGGGTAGTTTCTCTGTCTCAGTTCAATCCAGTTCACAGGATTGTTTTTGTGGGGAAAACAATACAAGACTATCGATCTTATTTTTAAAAAAAGTGCGATATAATAATAATTGAAGATTGCACAGACTGACTACAAGCAAGAGCATGACAAAGTAGCAACAATGGTGCATTGGAATATCTGCAAGAAATACTATTTGCGTGCAAGCAAAAACTAAGCAGATTTACAAAATACACATAGTAATAGAAAATGAAAAGGCTAAAGAGACAGCAGAATAGAAGGGAAAGAACTGGAAAAAATAAAAAACAAAGACCTGCAAATAAAAGTAGAATAACTGTGGCAAAGGAAAGTAAAGATAATACTAATAGAAATAGGTGCCCTGGGGGCAATCCCAAAACATCTGAAGACCACTTGAACACCATTGGCATTGACAAAATCACCACCAGTCAATTATAAAGGCAACTTTACTCTGAACAACTTACATTCTTCAACAATAGCTTTAACACTTCCAATCAATAATATCTGCCTATCCCAGGTGGGAGGGAGACTCAATAAGTGGATAAAATGCCAAATCCAATCTAAACATCTGGCTGATTGTACAACCAATCACAATATAATAAAAAGCATTAATGTTGATAGGGCCTGACATTTAATTATTGACTAGGAAAAATATATAAATCCATGCAGTTGTCTTTACCATATAACTTTTAAGAAAGATACAAAAGTCACAGTAAGCATCAAAAATAAAAAGCTGAAGGTGAAATTATCATAATCTGCTGAGTACATCAAAAAGGATATTATAACTTGAATAGACACAGAGACAGCTGCTTACCTAGTTAAGATGATAGAACGGAACCTAAGGGTTAGAATAGTTGAGAATCTTCAGCTGCAGGGGCGGGAGGAAAGCTAAGGAATATAACAGAAGGGTGTTAATTTTGCATGATAATTAAAACCTTGAGTGATAATTAATAGAAGAAATCTCAGGATAAGGAAAAGGAACCACTACTTAACACAGATTTGTTAAATCAGATAATTTATCTGATGATGGGCATCTATTTGGAGAGTTTTAAAAGAATTAGACATGGAGAAGAATGTTGTTAGTATAGCTGCTGTTTGTAATTGCTATATAGGTAATTCCCAGTTTATGACCATAATTGGGACCAAAATTTCTGTTGCTAAGCAACACAGTAATTAAGTGAACTTTGCTCCATTTTACAGCCTTTCTTGCCACAGTTGTTAAGTGAATCACTGCAGTTGTTAAGTTAATAACATGGTTGTTAAATGAATGTGGTTTCCCCATTGACTTTGCTTGTCAGAAGATCACAAAAAGGGATCACATGACCCTGGGACGCTGCAAGCATCATAAATCCATGCCAGTTGCCAAGCAACCCAATTTTGATCACACAATCGTAGAGATGCTGTAACGATCATGAATGTGAAAAATTGTCATAAATTAATGATGATGATGATGATGATAATGATGATGATGATGATGTTGGAAGGGACTTTGGAAGTCATCAGGTCCAACCCCCTGCTCAGGCAGGAAACCCTATACCATTTTGGACAAATGGCTGCCCAGTCTCTTAAAAACTTCCAGTGTTGGAGCATTCACCACTTCTGGAGGCAGGTTGTTCCACTGGTTAATTGTTCTAACTGTCAGGAAGTTTCTCCTTAGTTCTAGGTTGCTTCTCTCCTTGATTAGTTTCCATCCTTTGCTTCTTGTCCTGCCTTCAGGCGCTTTGGAAAATAGCTTGACTCCCTCTTCTTTGTGGCAGCCCCTGAGATATTGGAACACTGCTATCATGTCCCCCCTCGTCCTTCTCTTCATTAAACTAGACATACCCAATTCCAGCAACCGTTCCTTATATGTTTTAGCCTCCAGTCCCCTAATCATCTTTGTTACTTTTTCCAGTGCTCTTGTAACTTCAAATAGTCATTAAATGGATAGGGTGTTTTTTTTTAACCAAACTTATCTCCATCATGTGAAACTTCTCTGTATTTTATTCTTTTTTTCTTTTCCTTCATTTTAACATTGAATAGCCTTTCAATAATAAAAGATCTTCATGCTTATGAATTTCGTTATTCCTTTCTTATTTATTTGCATTGAATATGAAGTTAAGAAATATAGAATTATACTTGTCCTTAATTGCAATTGATCTGACTTAATTGCAAGGCTAAGCTAATATGTTGTGACATTTCAGTTCCATTTGCACTGGAAAAGGTTAATAATTGCCTAGAATGACTGCATTTCTTCCTCTTTTAATCATTCCAACTTTTGTTATTAACTTTCAGAAATGTTGATTTTTATTAAGGGGCAAATGAACCTGGACTTTCCCAATTGAAATTTTGCCCGTAGGAAAGTCTTGATCATTAATTAAGTTGACTATCTTACATTGCAGGTGGAGGTTCCAATCCATTCCAACACTTGGAAAAAAGTGCTGTGCTGCAAGAAGTAAGTTTCCAAATAATGCTGGTCTTTTCTTCTAAGGAGTAAATCCCTGGATATGCCCCCAAATTCTTACATCTACATTTCTCTTCCTAGGCCCGAATATTCAACGAGACGCCTATAAATCCTCGGAAATGTGCTCATATCCTCACAAAGATTTTGTATCTCATAAATCAGGTAAAAGGGAGATTTTACTTACAAGGACTTTGTTGTACTGGTTAAACTATCCTGCTCTGCTTGTCAACATTAAAGCTAAATTGCTGGAATTCCTTCATTTATTTTTTCAGTGATAAAGGAACTAGCAAAGTGCTCCTGCATGGTCTGAAGCAATGTGAAAGGTGACTCTTTGTAGTGTGATCATCAGCTCTCACTAACTTTGCCTCTCAGTTGGGTTAACTTTAGTCGTGAGCTTCTCTTGGCTACGTCTTCCAGCTACTGGCACAAATACTAGCAAATGTGATTTTTTTTTTTCTTACGTTCTAGGGAGAGCATCTTGGTGTGATGGAAGCCACCGAATCGTTCTTTGCCATGACCAAACTGTTCCAGTCCAATGATGTAAGTCTTTCATTGTGCATTTTGGCATTTACTTAGGGTGGAAAGAAGATGTAGGGCCTCTATTCAGAAGGTCCATTGTCAGGGATTCTTCTGGGGATAAGATTACGTACATGAACAAGATAAGCTTTTGATCCCAAGAACAATCAGTGTTTATTACTTAAATACTAAATAAGCACTTTCTTGGAAAACTGAATTGTGAGTATATTTGAACGTATTCTAGTACATCTAAATTGTCTATACTTCTTACAGGTGATACTTTACTCTTATTTCACAATTAACTTATACCTATTAACAATAGTTTCTTTCCTTGTCACCCTATGCCTATTATTCTTATATTTGTTTCCATCAGCCTATGTTTCTAGTTCTGTTTTTAGCGTTTAGATATCCTTGAACCTATGTTTCTATACATACCTTATTTTCTAAATGTGCTTCTTTGTTTACAGACATACATCTATACTCCAATTTGAACCTTTTGTGTTCAGTCTCCCAGTTTTCCTGTGGAAATAACCCGTTCCCTTTCTTTCCCCATTGCATGATTTTTTTTTTTTTTTGTTACAATCCCTTCAAAAAGGGATTGCAGCTGCCCTGTCTGGCTTTGGTAACTGGCTGCTTCTAGTCAAAGTTCTGCTGGGCCTCTGAATGGGGGGCCTTGGTAGTTTGCTGAACTCGCTAGGGATTTGATGTCACTGCTGGGATGACAACTTTGGCATCTCGCCCTCACAATTGCTTGATGCCAGGCTGCATTTGCATATACCATCTCCTATTTATTTATATCCTAGGTTGGCTTCTCAGATTCAATTTGTATATCCAGATGCAAAATATATAGGGACCTCATCTTTTCCTGAAATATTGGCCACTTTATACATCCTGTCAATATTTGTACATTCTAACTCTGTTGTGTGTTCTCTGTGTCAGCCAACTCTCCGCAGAATGTGTTACCTGACCATCAAAGAGATGTCTAGCATTTCAGAAGATGTCATTATAGTAACTAGCAGGTAATGTTTTCTTGAATCAATTGAACTGTATAACATTCCAAGTGTATAAGGAGGTGGAGGAGGGGAGCAGCAGTAGTAAAAAGAGATGATGAAACTGGAGTCATTAGCAAATAAAAATAAATGGTAGCTTTAAAAGGCTATTGAAATGCTTATATAAAGAAAGCTCACCATTTAATTGATCCACCCCAAGTTTTGAGTAATCCAAGCACACAAGATATGTTTTGATGTGTTGCTATCCTTCCCTCTCCTCTCTTCCCAAATGTTTTTGCTTTTTAATTATATGATATATAATTAATAATAATTATAAGGAAGTAAGGTTAATGTTAACCACATTCAAAATTTTAAAGTGATGCCTACCAATGTTAGTCTATAATAACTCTGTGTGTATATGTGTGCTACACACACAGTGTGGGTTGTTTCGCTTGTCTTAACACCTGCTGCATACCCATCTATTGGGAATCTGTAAAGCAGGGTTAAGGATCTAGTGCAATGAGTGAATCTGGTCTCACTTTCTCACTGTTTATACAGTGAAATACTACATTAATAATTGCATTGTGTATGTCTGTGTGATATACACATATGTATTGAAAGACATTATGTTCCTTTGAGGCAACTGAGATGCTGAGGGAGGTCAATTCTTGTAATCTAACACCTAATATAATAAATATATAATACTAACATCTCTATTCCATTTTTGTCCAGTTTAACCAAAGATATGACAGGAAAGGATGACAACTATAGAGGCCCTGCTGTGCGAGCACTCTGCCAGATTACAGATGTAAGTATGAAACATTTGCATCTTTTCTTTTTTGCAATCCTTGTCATTTTATTTTACATCTTCCCATCATTATCTGCATCTTCCTTTGTTTTGTTCTTAGTGGGTTTTCCCCTGTCTTTCTCCTGCATTGTTTGCTCCTTCACTATGGTCTTTGTCCATTCTTGGAAGTCTTGGCAGATGTTCTCCTATGTCCCTTCCAACCAGCCTCCCATGCTCTGTCTTCCCTGTAGAGCACCATGCTCCAGTCTATTGAGCGCTACATGAAGCAGGCGATCGTTGACAAGGTTTCCAGTGTGTCCAGCTCTGCCTTGGTGTCATCTTTGGTGAGTAAATCCTTGCAGAATTTATGAACTAGGCAAGAAATTTTGAGTGCTCATTGTCCAAGAGGACACCTCTTGTTTTTTTAAAAAAGTGAAAATTATGATGGAAAACCTCAGCTGGCCCAGACACAGAAAGAATTGACAGATGAATAGTTCTTTGTCGATTCTGTGAGTAGCATGCGTGACCATTCTTAACTGATGGAGCCATTTGTCTGTTTGGAAGAAGCAAGGATGTGGTTCTGTGTTTGTTCTTGCTAAATTATTTTAAAGGCATGAGCTGTCACTATTTTAGATCATGAATGAGAGAGAAAGAGAGAATAGAAAAATGATGATGTAGCGCAACTCCTGGGCCACAAAACCTCTAATCTTTTTTGGAGCTAATATATGTCAATTGCAATGTTTCTGTTTGACATTTGAAGCAACTTCTTGATATGTTCTCTGGCTTTCTTCCTTTACAGCACCTTCTAAAGACGAGTTTTGATATAGTAAAACGTTGGGTGAATGAAGCTCAGGAGGCAGCTTCTAGTGACAATATCATGGTCCAGGTAAGAGTTTTAAAGCTAACCTGGAATGTATAATGCTGTGGTCTGATGAATTTATGTGTAGAAATATAGAAATAAAGTTGATGTCTTATCTTCCTTTGCTACCTTGTTCCAGTATCATGCTCTTGGCTTGCTGTATCACATTCGCAAGAATGATCGCTTGGCTGTCAACAAGATGCTAAACAAGTTCATGCGTCATGGGTTGAAGTCACCTTTTGCCTATTGCATGATGATTCGAGTCGCCAATAAACTGCTTGAAGAAGAATCTGG